GTCAATGGAGTACAGAACTCATTATTTGAAGTGGAAAACTGCATTGTTACCGTTTTCGTTTCATTTACTATTAATTTATTTTGGAACCAAATTGAAATATCTGATATTGTACTATTTTCTGTTTCTTTATTGCAAAGAATATTCGTATCATCCGCAAAGAGAACTGTTCTTCCGTTTCTAATCGTTGAGGTCATATCGTTTACGTATAGTGGGAAGAGAATAGGGCCTAAAATCGATCCTTGCGGGACTCCACATGAAATTGGCAAAGAATCGGAAAGGTGTGTTCATAAGTTCCATTATGCCAGTAAGGTAATTCTACTCCCTGAGAGCGTTTTTTAAAGTACGAACATAACCAATCTAGAGCAATACCACTAATTCCATACGAAGGTAATTTTGAAAGTAAAATGTTATTATCGATGACGTCAAAAGCTTTTGAAATATCAAAAATATTCCAATAGGTGTTTCGTTTTGATCCATTAATGAGGCGACATCTTTAAGAAAAGAAAATATGGCTGGTTCGGTAGATTTTGATTTTCAAAATCCATGTTGGAAATCTGGAAACGCGTGTTGTTTACTAAGAAACTTCCATTCGTACGTAAAACGTCCCTCTATTCGTACGTAAAAAATGTTTGAAAAAACCGACAAAAGAGAAATTTGCCGATTATTTTGAATTTAATTTTTGTTGCCTTTTTTTGAAAAGATGTTTAACCTTAGCTATTTTAAAAATATTTGGTAAAATTCATGTGCATAAGGATACATTAAATATGCTTTCTACTAGGTTTCTAGTTGATTTGGTAGAATGTTTTACTATAATCCACATTGCTTTTGTTTTATTATTTGAGTACAAAATATCCTGATCATGTTTCATGATTTTAGCCTGCCTTATGACTTTTTTAACAATGACTCGTCCTTTTTAAAGTAGAGGAGGAAACCTTGAGATGCGTTATGATGCTTAGAAATAAAAGAATGAATTGGTCTGTTTTTACATGATGTCCTAATCCCTTGCGTTCTCCAAGAATTGCTTTTTCGTGAATTATTTAATTTTCTTTTTTGAAGATTTAATTTCGCGTAAACTTTTCTATTGTATCCTAGATATTATATTTGAATGATAAAGGGCAATCGATTTATAATATTATTTTTATACACTCATAAGTCGATATATTGATTGGCCTTCAACTCTGGATGTTTAATTATCTTTTACTTCTAATTTTTCTTTTTAACTGATACTTTCAAGAGTTTGATGACTCATTATGGTAGAATTATTCAACAAATGGAAGCTCATTGCGAAGTAATAAATATGAACTTCAGTGAAATCCTTGCTTGTATATATAACTTGCTGCTACTACTGTCATTGTTGAGATTCATTAATTTAAAATTATATATTTGTTTCTTTTGTAAAAGTAAGAAAGTACTACTGTTTCTGTCTTTTGAAATAATTGCAGGTATGCACAGCAAGCGATTCGTTTGAATTGGTTTGGACATTTTCAAGTGATGGCTCAAGTGTTATTGGGGCAGAAATTGCAGTATAATATTACGTAACCGTCCCAAATAACGCAAGAAAGTATGTGCTGTTGTACCATCGCTAGTTATCTAAACCCAACTTCACTTGATGGGATGTATTCGATGCAAGACACTGCGTGGAGGGAAGGAACGTGAGAACAAACACAAACATCAAGCCTTAAGGCCCCTACCCATGACGCCACTCAGCAGCTCTACCGAGTGGCGCACCTGGTAGCAGAACATTGATTTAAATCGTGGTCTTCCCACGAATGACGGGTTCGCGCTGTTGTGGCAGACTCCCGCCACCAGCAGCGGGGAACCTCGTACGCGCCACCGCTAGCAGAACGTAGCTTTAAATGGTAGTAATTCCCCTATGACACTCGGTCGCGGCGCAGTGTTGCTGTTCACCTACTCCTTCTCTTCTGTTCGCTGCCCGGCCGCCTGAGCCGAAAGCGGCGTGACTCACGAAACCTTCCCCTGTCGCGGTCGGTGGTGGACAGCGGCGGCCGACGATGGCTGTGTGGGAAGGGCTCTGTTACATCTCGGAAGAGCTGCTGTGTGGCGTAATGGAATGAACCCTTAGGTTGCCTTAGCACGGAGCCACTCGGTGGCACCACTGAAAAGCGTCAAAGCCCTTCACATGCAGCCAACATCTACCGCGAAAGGGGAAGGATTCACGAGTCACACCGCAGTAGGCTCCGAAAGGCAGACAGCAGGTAAAAGCCGGATCAGTGGATCATTTAGAGTGAAGGCTGCCATTTAGAACTATTCTGCTGGAGGTGGCGTGGACGCGCGTCTGCGCTGCTGGTGGCGTGAGTTCGCCACCCAGCGCCACAGCAGCGCGTCTACGCCGCTCGTGTTTTTACCCCCATTTAAGCCAATGCTTTGCCAGAAGACTCCACTCAAATGCGCTGCCTTGTGAAGGGGCCCTAATACTCTCTGCGAAGGGGTAGGGAAGGCGCCAGTAGAGGGTAGTTACGAGAGCAGTGCACTGCGTTCCCTCGTAGGCCCGTCAATGCTGCATTATTTATTGTGTCTCCGTGTTTGATTCTTCATTATAACAGATACAGAACGTATTTCTGATGATTTAATTCATTATTTAGGAAATATTTATTTTTTCATTTTAAATTAGTGTGCCGCGGATTATCAGTGTTACTTGAATTTTTATATTAATATCTGATTTTATGTTCATATTATGAGAGGTTAGTGAATGATCTACGTACGTTATCTTGTCTTAACGATATAGAAAAGAGACAAATTTTGAAATATGGTCGACCTAGTCCTATGTTGAGTACGGTTGTACATCGTGTTGGCAAGAAAAATTCAAGAACATTCTATCTGTGGATGATTCACACAATCGAAAGGTAGTGAAGTTAAAGAGCAGCTTTATTGTTTGCCATGTGTTCTATTGTCAATTAAGGAGAGTTCTTGGAATAGATATGGGTATTTTGTCATGAAAAATTGATCAAAAGCTATACAAAAACGTGAAAAATTATATATACAATTTAGTAAATCTTTAACGGATGGAAAAAATTCAAATCCGATTTTTGAATTATTGTCAGAGTAACACAAACTCGCAATTTTTTTTAGAATCTTAATATCTTGAAATCACGTCTGCGCATGCTTCATAAAAATAATGCATTGAAATGTAATATCAGTGAGGAATTTGTTTTGAATACATTGAATAAAATTACAGAAAACATGCCTCTCTTGCCTCCTTCCCAGGATCCACCTCTGTTCAGTATACTGTTTTGCCTAATCATCATCATCGTTATTGTTGTTGTTGTTATTGTTGTTATTATTATTATTATTATTATTATTATTATTATTATTATTATTATTATTATTATTATTATTCAAGCCATTACTGACCACTCTACATGATTAACGTGTGTAGTTTTTCCAGGATCAGCTTTTCAGCTGTATCCTTCAGTACGACAAGATTGTTACGTCATGAAGGGTGAATAATGACATGATAGGATGATTCACAAATACGACCATGTCTACCCAGGACTCAAACCTGCAGCCTTCTCGGCGCAGACAACGGCTGCCGCAACCGTCTGCGCCACGGGGCCGTCATTCTTCCTCTTAATAATAATAATTTATTATAATTATAATTTATTATTATTATTATTATTATTATTATTATTATTATTATTATTATTATTATTATTATTATTATTTGTTGGTCTACATTGACGCAACGCGTTTCCAAGCCCCTAAACGAGCGTTGAGCACATGCATTATGTAGTAATCCTCCATTAACATACTATAGTTGTCTATCCAGTCTCGACGCAGTCAGTTGTCAACAATAGGACAGCCACGTACTTTTACCAAGCGCTCCAGCGTCAATACCCAGTTGCCACAATTGGGAAGGATTTATTTTATATTGCGATTTATTTACAGCTGTCTCTGATACGCCATCATCTGTTACGGTGTTATCCACTTGGGAGCTTAACGTCATTACAGTGACATCACTACGGTGACGTTCAACCTTCCGACTGGATGACACAGTAACACCTGTTTTACTTCAGAGGCAGTTCTAAATCCAAATATAGGATAGGGTTAAGGTTTAAGATGCTTCATAGGTGTTGGACTAGCCCCTGTGAAGAAGGCAAACTCGTTTTTTGTTGAAACAAATTTCACATGAGGTTGTCCCGAATCGAACCTGGTCCTCCGTGAAAGGCGACAGACTTCGTTCTGTGTCACGAGTTCCCCATTTCACTAAACATTTGGTCACGAGCTGACACTGAATTAAGTATATCATTTTGTATTAATGTATGTGAAATGTAATTAATCTGAATTTTTACCTGATAAAAATTGATTACCTACAAAGTATATTATGTATGATTATGCAAGTCGCTGTAGTAACTAATATTTTTTAAATACTCATGTTCAGTGTTCATTAACTAACCTGCGTTTCCTTTCGCAACGTTGACCGAAAATTCATATAAGAGTAAGCAGCATTAAAAATGAGTTGCATGCGTTATTTTTTAATAACAACATTAAACATCACTGAGAGAATTGGAAACAACTATTCAGACGTAACGGGCACTTGATTTATATGGGAAAACCCAATTGTCGGCTGTTCGCCCCCCCCCCCCACACACACACACACACGCATGATACGATTAGTTAAATGTATGATGACGCAATTATTCTTGCCATAAACGGCAAATACGTCATTATCTGTGTAAGGCATATGAACGATTTCTTGGAAGGTAAACGGTCGTTTATAATGCTGGAATTCGAAAACAAACTAATTTTAAGGCCCCTTTAAGGTGTTTGGATATTTCACTGAACCCCTGAAATAACAAAATCAATCAATCATCGAGGAGAAACTAGTTCCTTTTGGCACATCAGATATATTGAATCTCTGATATAATAACCAAAAATATTGGTCTTCATAAGTTAATTATATCTAGAGTTGATTGTATTTAATTAATGTTTCATATGAATACTTGGCACAATTTTTCTTTATCAAATATTCCAGAAAATGAGAAATAAATAAAATATTCATCATATCATTAGAGAATTACTCCTGTCATTAGCTGAAATTACAAAACCAGTTTCATATTTAAAAAAGTCAGTAAACCAGAATAGTAGAGCAAAAATAAATTTAAAAAAAGAATTATATGGTACATAAAAATTATACACAAATGAAAGAAATAAGGAAATTAAAATCAGTGACAGAAACTGTAATTATAATATAAATGTAACCTAGGCATAATAAAATCAATCAATGATATTTTCTGCTTTACATATCTGCACATTTATTACATTCTAACTATAAAAATGTGTAAGTTTATCATACATTACATCATATTTACATATTATCACAAAGAACACTTGCACTCTACCATCTATACACATTTGTTGTTAAAATCATTTTACTTTTCACATAATGGACTTTTAACATCAAAGTACATCAGTACCACCTAAAACTGTATAGAACAATTTTGATATTAAAGGAACCATTAAAGCATTTAGTAATTTGCATATTCACAATCTACTCTCATTCAATAATAGTTTTCAATCATTACAATAATTTGCATTAATTTTATTGCAATTAATTGCTTTTACACATAATGCATACTTTTCAGTCAGTGAAAACTATTTTCTAGTGAAGAGCACAGTTAATTTTTTGAAGAAATGAAATATTTACAACATAATTTCTATCGTTTATGTATGTCATTTTGCACATGTCTTTTTTCTCCTGATCATCTTCTGGAATTACTTATATAAATAAGTTTAATAGTTAATAATACCTATTACACCATTGCATATAACACTAAATCATGAAGCAATTCAGAGACACATTAAGGTAAGCAAGTCCTGATATATATGTATATACACACAAATTATATTGCCTTATCAATAAACTCTCATGAAATAACAATATACAGTCTTCAAAATTTAACAAAACATTTTCATTAATCTAATGTATAACAAATGTAAAAACTTTTCATTTAAAATGAAATATCAAGACAATATTCAACATGATCAATACAGAGAGAGGAGGCAAGAATCATTACTGAATCTAACAAAGCCAAGTTCACATATATGAAAGGGTCTGGAATCACATATCACAGTAATCTCAGTATAAAATAAATGTTTTATATTGTTTAATTGATGAGAAAATAAACATACTGATGAGAAAATAAACATGAGTATAAACTAGTGATTATGTTGATTCAATTTTTATCACATGAAAATTAATTTTCATATTACAACTTCAATTAAAATTAATTTTCTTGTGCTACAAAGACAGTTTTCCTTAGGTACTTATCATTTTTATATTCATTGGTTGTACTTTATCTTGTGTCACTGATTAGATTTTCGGTAATCTATTAGACAAGACACAATTATATTTAACATAACATCCAATAGAAATAGAATAACAAGAATAATAATTCTTCCTGAGGTAAGAAATACTACAAAGACTCAGGTAATGCAATTCACATCATTAGACATCAGTTAATGTGACTGCAAAACACTAGTTTATTTGAGGTTTCAACATAAATATTCTATAGAGTAACTTTAATGAGTATTTATGACATATTATTGATCTTTAACTACTATATTTATAATATTGATACAGATATTTGTAATGCCTAGTTGAGAGTATTTGCTTCACAACAAAGCTTTGGTAGTTTTCAAGTAACAAGTACATGTGGCGTCTTCACCCTTACTGTCAACTGCAATTTATTATAAATGAAACCATCAGCATGAATAAAACAGCACTCACCACATCAATGAATAATTTTTGATTTGAATAATTTTTTCCAAGAATGTTTTTCTTTCACTTAAATGTATACATACATGAAAAACATTACAACATAACAAGTACATTATATATTTATGCAATAAGAGCATCAGTGATAAAATTTAGAGAAAAATGTAAGTACAATAAGTAGTCACTGGGCTTTCTAAACAATACTGCACATTTGCATCATTGCATCTATTTTATTAAATACTGGGAATTAATGTCCTAAACAGCCAGTATCTTGTGTGGTACAGTTTTATTAAGGAACGAGGGACATCGTAAGAATCCTTATTTCATTGAGAATGTACACGGATTCTTACTCTTACATCTCTACTACTAGAGACAGCACTTTAAAATGTCCTACAGATGACACTTTTAATTTTTTAAGAACTCAATAAATTAAATATTAATAAGGAAAATGTATAGGGCAAAATATTTTTGCATCATTTATAAACTTAAATTTTTCAACAGATTAAACAGTCTCTGTTCAGCTATTTCTAAGAGGTTCATCATAATTCCTGGCATATTAAAAATTGCAACTGTTAACTGGAAATGTTCCATTGCCATTTATTTATTTATTTGAAGAAACAGAAGGTAATATAGTTAAATGATTGTCCAGAAAATACTGTTACCCCAAATTTGGAAGTAATGCCAAAAATACATATCTTCAGTGTGCTCTCAATGCCTCAGCACTCAGGAATGTCACAAATCCAATACTGTGTTGCAGGCTTAACATTCAGAGAAACACTCATTTCCAGGTGAAAGCAAGTGAATATAGGGCAGATTATTTGATATCAAGCCCATTAATAAGACACAACCATCAACAACATACATCTTACTATTTGCCTCTCTAAATAAGAAAATAACACCTTCCTATGCAATTACTTACTTCTGCTATTTTTCATCATCCCACTAACACTAGTTTTTTTATTTGTAAAAATTCATAGATCTAATGGGATGAAATGTTCATTGGTGACAAATAAATCTTAATGATTATTAGAGGTCTTGTGTCATAACATAACATAATTTGCAGTAGACATGAGCATCAGCAACCCCAAATTATAGGGGAGGAGGGATTCAATAAATAATGTACATACTAAGGAGTCTCCCAGTAATATACTCTATTTGTCAAGAAATATTCTGTTGACAACGCTCATGGCTACAATAATTAACAGAAACTGCCCAAAATGCTCCAGAAGGGAAGTTTGTATTATGGATTTAGTGGGTAAAAATGGCTAAAAAATATTGTAATTCTTGCACTTCATGTGTAACTCTGTAAGGTTGTAGGCAAAATGGCAACATTGCAATTCCATACAGGAACTATTTAAACACTAATAGAAAGTCGCTGACCCTCTCAACTCTTGCATAGTAGCAAAGCCTGAGAATTATGGAATTTTCTTCCACAAAGGGTTAAGTAGTCTGATAATGGAAAATGTATGAATGTATTGTAATTGTGGTCCAATACTTACCTTTTAGTTAATTTTATTTGAAAGCAATGTTATTTATAAAGGGACATATGTACATGCACAGGAACATATTTCTTTGTTTTTTTTCTTTCTTTCGTACTCTTAGGATCACTTACAAAAGATAATCATCGAAATACAAGCCCAAAACATAAGTTTTTCTATTTTAATAAGATTGTAAGTCAATTTGGTAGTAGTAATATATATTCTTTCCCCAAAATATGAAGGTACAAACTATACATTTGAATGAAAATTTGCTGATAAACATCCTTGGAGAAGTTATTTAAATTTATAAATCTTAAAATCAACTAGACACTTCACTTGACTACACTACACTACATAATTAAATTATAAATTCAAACATACATAATTTATTCATGACAATATTTTTTTTATTAAAAAAGGAAAAAAAAAAAAAAATGAAAACAATGTGAATTATGGTGAAATTAAAAAAGTTACATTTTCAAAAAACCTGTTTCCCCCTATAAACAAACAACATGTTTTTGGGTTAGAACTGTCATTGTACATTCTATTATTGGGTTGTCAAATGATATATAAGAAATACATTTATCCCCAATCTGCTTTCATATGCAGAAGAACCTCCATTATCCTCGGTAATGGCAGTTATCTGTTTAAAGATGTGTTAATGTACAACTCCAATTCAAAACCAAGTATCACTTGAATTGATAATTGAATTCTCAGATAATAGGGACCCACAGTACTTCAAGGTTTTGGTATTTCCTAAGTAAATCTTGATTGTTTTTATTATTACAATTATATTTCTCTATTTCGAAATTAACAGTTAATTCAGGTAACTATGGAAGGAAATAATGGTAAAGTAATTTTGGCCTAACATGAAATTTATAACAATTACTCTACATACACAGTAATCTAGCTATCCAATATGCTGGTTAGAGATAGCAGGCCTATAATAACCCAAATTTATGAATAATATCAGATAAAGACAGAATATTATATAAGCATTAGAAAAACCATTATCCATTTTCATAGAATATTTTTTTTACAATATCCTAAAAATTTAAAAGTCAACAACTAATATATTTTAATACAAAATGTATTAATTATCCTAAAACATTAAACTATTTCCAATAGAAATTTGGCGAACAGAAAATTGTTGATAAACTAATTTATGACAGTTTCATCAATTTCATTAAGAATAATAATGAAAATACATTGTGTTACATTACTATTATTAATATAACTTGAATTTATTTTAAAAATATTTTCAATCACATCTCACAATAACATAATTTATATTCTGTATGCAATGCAAAATATGGAAGGTCACATTACACTGATGTCATCTGACATTTACATCAAGAATTCTCAGCTGATTTTATGCCCAAAAAAGGATGACATACTTTATATATATGTAAAAAAATCTAAATACTGACTCCATTCTTATGAAATATTTAAACTTATGAGGAAGACTAGCGGAAGACTTTATGCTTCCCAGTCTTGTTTTCTAAAGAAAATTAATGAATTCTACGTTTCACAAATAGTAATGCATCATTTTAATGATTCAAATGTGGATAATCACTTAACTAAAACATTAGAATACATAATTAGGACAATAATAATTTGTTTAAAATTCTACAAAAAACAAATAGTATTTTAATTTCTGAGTTGTGAAGTTTTTATGTTCATTAAAGTATTGCCCCCCATATTTTCTACCTTCTTTTATAAGTGAAGACAATTTTTAATTAAAATATCTTTTTAAGCATTTAAACAAAGCTGTAAGAGGAGCAATTGGAAGAGGTTTTTAACAAAACAAAATTGGTAATTGAAAAATAATTCTAGATTACACCAAATAAACAAATAGGATACTTATTAAAATTAAAGTAAATTAAAATTTTAAGAAAACATACAGCAGTAAGCATGTCTCCTAAGACAAAATTGTGTTAAATCTGTAATGACCTTATCACACCATCTCCCTCAACTGACATGAATTGATTACACTAGCACTTCCAAATTCTGTGAGTACAGTGTGAAGTGTCATCTTCTTTTCATTATTAAATTAATCATCATTGATGGAGTCAATGATGGAGAGACGTTAATTTGTTTGCATTATGAAAAGTTGAGACTTAAAACATTATGATAACTCATATACTCAAAGTTGTAGATTTATTTAGAAGAAAATATTTATTTATTGTCTAATTTTCTTCATATCTACATTAACTTTTGGTTTGATGGTTTCTCACTTGCAAAAAGGAGAATTTATGTTCATGAAGCAGATTATGGTTATGTGTCAAGTACTGAAAAGATACTGAAGCTTTTTGAAGAGGTTTTAGAAAGGTAGTTTGTTGGAGGTAATTTTCCAATGAACATATCTAATAAGATTATAAAACATAATAACGAAAACAAAGTACTGGCCTGAAATTGAAATGAAAAATAATATTCATAATTTCCTAAATCTCTCTTAAACATTCAGTTCATCAACAATGTTCAATAGTACATGCAAAATGCATAACAGGCAAAAATGAAAATTCACTGTTTACATTGGTTTTACAGTATCAAACACAATTAAATAATGAAAATTATAGAAAGCAATGACCAAATGTTAACAGTTAATTACAAAATTGTAAATTGCCCAGAATTACAAACAAAATGAGTGTTAATTTATCTCCATCTCCGTTGTCTGTTACATGTAACATGAATTCCCATCTGTGGTTGCATGTTAAACTAGTGTAAGTTATCTATTACTACATAAAAATACAATTGCATTTTTTGGAATGTGTAAATTGCATGTACATTAATACTAACTTATTAATGTGCAATGAAATATATCTTCCAACTTTACCTTTAATACAAATAACTTGAAAAGTTAAGGTAATGAATTTCAATATTTGAGTTATACTTTCTACAGTAATTATCAAGATATGCGTAATATAAAGAATGCAGTAAAGAGTAGAAATCTATCAGAAAAAATAGACAATTAGTAATTGTAATGGAATGGAAAACATAATAACATTGAGAAGACAATAAATTGAAATTATCATGAAAATTAAGAATATTTTTACAATGCATCAATACTTAATACATTGTTTTAAGTTGTGATCTGTTTACACCAAGAGAATGTAATGAAAATAAGTGAATAATAAGATTCAGTAAGAAATGATTGAAGAATTCCTGGTGGGGTTTTTGTTAATTTAGTAATAATTTGAAAGAAAGATTGTTCAACTAGGAAGACATTACTTGCTTTGCTGGGAGTTCTTATAGAAATATCACTTGAACTTATAACTTTAATAATCATGTTATTTAGGTGGTTGAGATTCAATTCTTGATATAAAGTAAATAGTCCTCAAAAATATGACCAACTTCTCAGAATATCCATTACTACATTGTGATTGAATATTACATAACGATTATATCAGATTGAATAAGTTGTTATAGAAACATATTTTACCTATAAACAAACATGAGGTTCATACAATTGTTTGTGAAAAAATACATCTATGTACATGCAAATATTCAAGAGCAAAATCTTTGTCCAACCTACATAATTACTTACATACTCTATACAGTATGTGGAAGAGGTCAAATTGCAATTAGAAGTTACAGCAATTAGAACTATTATTTCATGGTGTGCTGACATGTTTTGAAATTACTCCAAGACAACATAAGGTTTCTCACGTAGAACATACGGGTTTACCATGATTAGTAATGCAAACGACCTTACAAAATCTTGTGCTTTTCTAAAATGTTCAGTTTGTAATGTGTCTATGACATTCATCTACTTAGATATTGTTTTGTATACTCAGACATTTACTGACCTCATATTGGTAACCTGCACATTGCTTCCAGTACTTTGTTGCTCTTCTTCTTCATCTGACATTTTCGCTCCTGTACTACCTGGGGTTCCAGATGCTGGTGCACGAAGATGTCGGGCTGCAAATTCTGATCCAGAATGACAACCAGAATCCATTGTTGCATCCGAGTACTGTTGCTGGTGATCTAGCTCCTCCTCTTCTGTTGAAGTTGCTGTGTGGTAGAGGTTCTCAATAATATTTGAGTTATTTGTGGTCCCCCCAGTAGTAGTGATGTGTAGTGGGAGATTCAAATGTCTCCTGGATGGAGAAGATGTCATCACTTTCCCTCTTCCAGGACTGTTCGGAGGAGTATTACCATTAAAGTCCTCACGGCCTGCAAACACTTTTTGCAAATGGCATGGATATTGCTGAGGCTGAGAGGATATTGTTTCATATTGTGCATCTGGAGCAAGAAAGTGATTGTCACTATATTCCACATTCCGTTGCTGAGTCTGTCCTTGTGATGGCTTATGCACTGGAGGATACATATCTGTTCCACTGCACATATTAGTAGAATCTTTTTCACCTACTAATACAGTACCTTCCCGATAGAAAGTGACACAGTTAACAATACCTTCAGGTGGATAACTTCCAGGTGACGGTGAAGAAGTGGAAACAGACATAGGAGAAGCAGTTTCTGTCAATGGAGTTCCATTTCCACTGGATACACTTGGATCTTTTGTGACCTGACCAAGATAGTCCCTACTGCAGACCTGCCCACACATTCTGTCCTCTACTGTTTCCATAGGGTGTCGTACAAGAGCATATGGCATTCGATTACATGAGCCCTGACGAGGATATGAAAAGCATCCACCAGAAACTTGTGCATCTTCATTACCCACACAATTCATCATTGAATTTTCAGTCCCAAGAAGAGGATGATGGTGTGAATGGTGATCATGATGATGAGCTGGAAACTGACCACCAGGAGGAATGCCGGTGACTCTATTCCTTCCATCCCGATTCAAGATCATCAGTCTGAAAGTATAGCCATTGGATTGTTCATTAGTATAAAACAGTAAATTTTTATTAATATCTGAGGAATATTATACATCATAAAAGTCTATAAAATACTACAAAACAGACATGCTACAAAAACAATAAGAGAATTGCATCAAACCTCTTCTGAGGATCAACAGCTTCATCATATAAAGAAGAATCTTGACCATCATTTCGCACAGATACATTGCAGCATGATGACACATCAGCAAAGTATACTTCTGATTCTGTCTGGTCGCTCTTGGATGAAGCTTGTCCTTCTTGATCCTGAAAAGCTGTATTTGTGATGCCAGACATATAATGAGAGTGTGAACCTGCTGGATTTCCGTTAGAATCTTCTCCATTGTGATGGAATTCCTGCAACAATATTATACATTTTATTACTGCATAATTCTTGGCACCTTGAAATGTCATCATTTTCAATCTGAGGAACATTATTAAACAGAAGTAAGAAATTATATATATATATATTTAAAAGGATCTTCCTATTTCCAATGATGTTGGTTTCATTACATTAATACAATTAAATGAAACAATTTTCAGATGAGCAGAGATAGTTTGTATAACATGTAAACCTACAGTTATATGTTGGCCAGAAATGACTGCAGGCCAGAATGGTTCCAGCCATCTCTGATTTTTTTTAATATGTAATTTTTCAGTCATGATTCAAAATTAATTCTTTCAACAACAATTTTCAAAATTTAATATTTATTTTATTTTGTATGATTTTTGCAGCAATAAATTTCTTTTCATTTCTAATTAAAAATATACAGTGATAACATCTGCTTCATTTCATTTCATAGCAACTACTTTAAATGATTAATATACCAAGATTCACTCAAACATGACAAGACATCTATCACCTCCCCTTTCCAGCTTTCAAAAGGTGACTTCGCACATGATGATTGCAACACCTGTAGAGAGTGCGTGTTCCAGGGGGATGATTCTTGCACCATAGGCTGAACATCTGCTTTGAAGATAGTGTTGCTATCATTAGATTTTTACTATAAATACCATAAATTAAAAACTAATATCCTAGAAAGAAATCCCAAAGAAGAGAGTGCAGTAGAGAAAAAAAAGTTGGGGAAAAAATGAGAAAGATAATAGGCAATAATAAAGTTTTAAAAAAATGAGAAGGAAGTCAAATAACAGAGAAAGAATCAATGTTTCCACCCTTTTCTTGATTTACACTGTATGAAGATACAAACCCCAGCTGTTACTCAATGTTTTGAGGTTGAAAGTGTAATGTTGTAAGAGAGGATTTGTAAGTTGACTATTAAGTTAAAGAAATTAAGATATACTATGTTAACATGTTCAAATCTATGCCAGGGAGATTCTCAATTGTACACAGGACGGGTATTTTTGCAATACTGCGTATTCAGTACTAAAAATGGAATCAATGAGTAAATAGTTTCACTTTAATTGCCTTTATTTATTGCAAAGGGAAGACACTGCTTTATCAGCTATGATGTCCACTGTGGTGAAGGAATAATGAATTGTTCACAGGGAGCAGGAGAAAGTATCGCAGATATTTTCCCTTTCCTCTGAAGCAGCACTTTGAGCTTATATTATACACATATTATCAGAAGGGGAAACTATTCACCTCTTTCTACTGGCCATTTAAAATTTCCCCAGAACAGAATTTTTTGAGTTTGAGTTCCTTTGGAGTTTGAATTGAAAATACGCACTTGAAAGTACACACATCATACAATTATACGATGAGAAGAAAGTTTCAAATTTTCATGCAGTCAATTGAAATTATGCTTTCAATTCAAATTTACCTCTTCAATGCTCATCTTGCTGTCTCGCTGTCCAGGAGAGAACATTCCCTGCAGGTTTCCTGCACTGGGATAAGCCGCAGGTGCTCCAGGACCTAGTGAGTAGGGAATATTTGCTACTGATTTTACTGAAGAGATATCTAGTCTTTTCTTGGCTTTGCGCGCCGGCAATGTGTTGGAAGCACGATCCTTACTACCAGAGGAATCGGTGTTGGTTTCAGAAATATCCGCTGATGCCAATTCAGCTTCACTTGCATTCATGTAATTTTCCACTGATGTGGAAGTGTTTTTGCAGTCTGAAGATGCCACATCACCAGAAGAAGAGGAGACATCTTCAAAGCAGTGACCAGAACCTTCTGGGAAGCGACGAAGGCCACCCTGAGGGCATGTACGATTTCTCTGTTGTTGCAAGTGTTTAAGAAGACCAGTTCCTCCAACCAGCACCTGCAAGTAAATTACAAACCAAATACAATACTTTTGTAACAATGGGAATATTTCCATGAGCTGAGTCTCAGTTACATTTTCAGAAATCAAAGTAAGAGTGTACTTAATCATTATTGTATTAGTTACTACAAGACCACATATTACAGACTTTCCCATGCACATACTATATTGAATTCATTTTCAATGCTTGAATTTCATACTAAGGGAGTCTCTGTAACTGCAAGCTATTGTCAATATTATTTTACAGATTGTATCAATTCTTTTTCTCTACACTTTTAGATTTGTGAGCAAATGTACATAAATAAATGTAGTTTTGAACTTCTCTAACTGACAGATTAAGATTATTATTGTTTTTGATATAATTAAGAATGTAATTAAATACCACATGTCAATCAAGAGACTATCTCAACACAATTTTCATCCACTTTCATTTGTCAGGTAGGCAGAATTTTTCATGAATTTTGAATTGGCATTAACATTCACAGTTGTTATACACACCTCGCCCTGTGTGAGGGTTTGAGCTCCCTGGGTTTGCAGTTGCTGCTGTTGCTGTTGTTGCTGTGCCTGCAGCTGACAGTGGTGATGATGGTGATGGAGATGATGGTGATGCTGAAAATGATGATATCGAGGGCTAACTGACCCGGTAGGTGTTACACCAGAACCTTGAGATGCTGCACCAGTTGCCGCACCAGATCCGGGAGCCAGAAGACTGAGAAGAGGCTGGGCTCCCCCAGGGGCTGGGGGTGGTGGATTGTTAGCAGCACTGCGTGCTGGTGAATTGGGGTTGGAATATGGTGGAGGTGGACCCCACATGTAGTACCTGTGAGAAACCAAAAGTTTTATTGACACATAACTATGAATAAGAAATAATGAAGTCTTTCATTAGAACTGTCCATACAGAAATAATACAAATTATTAACCAACTGCAAAATTATTTTAGGAGACAAGCAGAGGATTCAGTTTCTTCAGATATGAAAGGTTTTCAGTTCATAAAAGGGTGGAAATGCTCTGATTAATCTCTTATTATATAATGATCTCCCATTATTTTATATTTACACATTATAATTGTAAATAAATTGGAGTTAACTTCCACTGGAATAATATAACATATGTTTCATTAAAAATCGTGACATTGTAGTGTTTTCTAAATAGAAGAACTTGGCAATACAACCTACAGGGAAGTCTTTCTGGTGAAATACATTAATAAACATAATTCATGCAATAATGGCATCTCCAGAATGAGTACACGGTTGAAGATATTTAATAAATTTGTCTGCATTTTGTCAGTCACAGAAATGCTCTTTTCCTTCTTCTAATATCTGTTTTTCCATGAACCCTGCATATCACCTACCAAGGATTTGAAACTAGTGGTGTGAAAAATAGGACAAATATCTCACCTTTGCTGGTTAGTTGGCTGACCTCCAGCTACCACAGGCACAGCTCCTGCAGGAGGTGGATATCCTTCTATATGTATGGCTGCCATGCTGCTTTCAGTCATAAATGCTGATGTTCGCTGAGATGGTTGAGATTGTTGTCCTTGTTGTGTTACTGACTGTGATTGAGAACCTAAAAAAATGTATCATAAGCATGAATTTTAAATTCTGGGTCAGATTAACTTATTATATATATGCAGATCACAAACATAGGAATTAAAGAAGTGCAGTTTAATAATTACAACATAATAGCAAGTAAACATGTAAGCCTGCATTTCTGCTTGAAGGCAAGATATTTTAAAGAAAGCTTCAAATTTACTAAACAGATTTCTATGAATTCTAAATGAAAATTCCTAACTTTGGAAGTAATATTTCTGGGTTTCTTTATGCATAATAAATAATTGTTATATTAAAAAAGACTTGTTTTTTCATCATTTAACTTGTATTTTCCATCACATTCCTCTGAGTTGTGTCTAAGTATACAGTTGCAACAACTGGTAAAAAAAGAAACCATAGAGATTTTCTTTCCTTCCTTTCACTCTAAATGTAATTCAAATATTGTGAAAAAACTTAGATTAAAGAAAGAACATTTAGAGATAGTTATGAGGATTTTTGGGAATATTATGCTTGTGAAATAGATAACAGAGAAAAATTGTAACTGTACAATTAAAAGCACATAAGCTAAAAATTGAAGAAATCAAAGCAAAATACATGTAAAGGATGAAACAAAAAAGCGGGAAGAAAAAGAGAAGATGAATTAAAAAGAGAACAAGAGGAAGAAGAGGGCGAGTGAAAATGTAGTAGAAAAAAGAGTAGAAAAGTAGCAAATGTTGAACTACAAATAGATAAAAATAGAGAAGTGGAATGAAACAAAGTTAAAGAGGCGGAAACAGAAGAAGGAGGAGAGGGGCAGAGAAGGAAGAGGGGATAGAGGAGGAAGAGGAGAAGGAGAAAGAAAAGGAAGAGGAGGAGCAAGAAGAAGAAGAATAGGAGAAAGAGCAAGAAGAAGAAGAAGAAGACGAAGAAGAAGAAGAGGAGGAGGAGGAGGAGGAGGAGGAGGAGGAGGAGGAAGAAGAAGAAGAAGAAGAAGAAGAAGAAGAAGA